CTCCCTCAACCTGGTGACCACGCTTCTTCCGATGCAGCCCAGGATGGGGTTGGCTTTCTGGGCTGTGAGCGCACATTGCCGGCTCATGTTGAGCTTCTCATCTACAAGCGCTTCCAAGTTCTTCTCCTCAAGGCTGCTCTCAATCCATTCCCTGCCCAGCCTGTATTTGTGCTTGGGATTGCAGCGACTCAAGTGCAGGAGCTTGCTCTTGTCCTTGTTGCATTTCATGAAGTTCCTATGCACTTCCTTCACTTGGGCTCGTTTGCCCATCTTTGCAAAATCCTGGTGGCCTGAGGGGATGAACTCACTGCCTAGGGTACACAGAGGGAAAGAAGAGCTACAAGGACGAGATGAAGCCCCTGGTTTGGCCAGCCAGTGTCAGGTCTCATGATGCAGAACATTTTGCATGCATCTCTTTGTAGAGAGGCAGCTTCGGTGTCGTGAGCCGGGGGAAGGACGTTGGGCTTGGGAGCAGCCCTGGCCCCAGCGAGGCTCCCACAGGAGGGGCAGATGGAGCCTGTGGCATAAACAGGCTACTCTGTGAAGCTGTTTTGGCAGGAGGAGAAGATGTGAGCAAGAGCATCTGTTACCAGCCCTGGAGGAGACAGAGGGAGCTTTCGCCTGCTAGAGCTGGGGAGGAAAGGGAAGGGGCAGGCAGTGTGCACCTGGAAGCCTTCATGCCCCTGGCCTATTTGACCCCCTATGCCCCCTTTTGCTGGCATCAACTTTTAAGGAAAATCCAAGCCTTGATTTTATCCTGATGAAAAGCTGCTGAATTGGCAAAAGGGTACAAATTATTTATTCCGGGACCAGCTGAGCAAGGGCTGAGTGCAAGCTGCCCTCATGCACCTACAGCAGGCACCTTCCCACATGAAACAGTATGGCCAGTTCCCAGTTTTGGTACCAAAGCCCTCGTGAGAAAGTCTTCCAACAGCTCTGTGCTGGGAGGGCCGCAACCACTGCCCCATCTCATACGGGAGATTTAATAAACAGCAAGCATTGTTTTGGGTCCAATATGGATCTGGAGACCACTCCACATGAGCTCGAGAAGCTTCCCATCCCTCTAACAGCACCTGAGGGCCACCACACCCTAAGCTGCTTAGCATTAAAGGAGCACAAACAGGACCCATGTAAGCTAAATTCATTCCTCCTTCATAGCAGCATCACACCTCGGGCTTTACACAAGCTCAGCCACCCTTTTTAAAGCAAAGAGAGGTTTTGTGCACGTTTGGAGGAATGGACTACCTGTCACCCAAGACCATGCATTGTTTTGGGGCAGGAGGTAGGCTTTCCAGCACACCTGGGCTGCAGAAAAACCTGCAGCCCACCAGGGACTCAGGGGGAAAAGCAGTGACACCATCTCGTTTCCACAACCGGGTTGTTGGTAGGCAGACAGCTGTGTTTCTGGAAGGGGAAATGATCCCAATTAGCTTTCCAGGTGCTCTCTTGTAAATGGCTTTCAGGTGGTACAACCGGGTCTGACTGCAGTCCAGGGCTTTGTCTCTCTGAAAAAAGCCTTCTGTGTTCCCCTCCCGCCCCCATCCGCTCCCCCCTTACAAAGGAAGAGGGAGACCATCCAGGAGACAAGAAAACACACATACAGCATGGGTAATTGCTATTTTAAGAACGTACTTTATACAAAATAACCAATTTATATGGAAATAAAATCTACAGACCTCCAAGGATCAAGCTTTTAAAAAAGTTCTTTAAAAAAATTACCCAACACACAGTATTAAACTAACTATTGAGGTAACTGTCGCTCTTGGGGAACAAAGGTAATCAGCAGACCAAGACAAAATATACACAATATAAAAATAAATAGCATTCCCCTTTCCAGTATTGACCAGGAAAGTTCACACAACTTTGCCCTTGTCTTATCGCTACCCTCCCTGATAAAGAGTCCCTCCCCACCTCTCCTGTAGCCCCTTCAGGTACTGGAAGGCTGCTATAAGGTCTCACCGGAGCCGTCTTTTCTCCAGGCTGAACAACACCAACTCTCTCAGTCTGTCTTCAGAGGAGAGGTGCTCCAGCCCTCTGAGCATCTTCATGGCCCTCCTCTGGACTCCTTCCAACAGCTCCACGTTCTTCTTATGTTGGGGACTGCAGAGCTGGACGCAGTACTCCAGGTGGGGACTCACAGTGGAGTAGAGGGACAGAATCACCTCCCTCAACCTGGCTTCCAACAGCTCCACGTTCTTCTTATGTTGGGGACTGCAGAGCTGGACGCAGTACTCCAGGTGGGGACTCACAGTGGAGTAGAGGGACAGAATCACCTCCCTCAACCTGGTGACCACGCTTCTTCCGATGCAGCCCAGGATGGGGTTGGCTTTCTGGGCTGTGAGCGCACATTGCCGGCTCATGTTGAGCTTCTCATCTACAAGCGCTTCCAAGTTCTTCTCCTCAAGGCTGCTCTCAATCCATTCCCTGCCCAGCCTGTATTTGTGCTTGGGATTGCAGCGACTCAAGTGCAGGAGCTTGCTCTTGTCCTTGTTGCATTTCATGAAGTTCCTATGCACTTCCTTCACTTGGGCTCGTTTGCCCATCTTTGCAAAATCCTGGTGGCCTGAGGGGATGAACTCACTGCCTAGGGTACACAGAGGGAAAGAAGAGCTACAAGGACGAGATGAAGCCCCTGGTTTGGCCAGCCAGTGTCAGGTCTCATGATGCAGAACATTTTGCATGCATCTCTTTGTAGAGAGGCAGCTTCGGTGTCGTGAGCCGGGGGAAGGACGTTGGGCTTGGGAGCAGCCCTGGCCCCAGCGAGGCTCCCACAGGAGGGGCAGATGGAGCCTGTGGCATAAACAGGCTACTCTGTGAAGCTGTTTTGGCAGGAGGAGAAGATGTGAGCAAGAGCATCTGTTACCAGCCCTGGAGGAGACAGAGGGAGCTTTCGCCTGCTAGAGCTGGGGAGGAAAGGGAAGGGGCAGGCAGTGTGCACCTGGAAGCCTTCATGCCCCTGGCCTATTTGACCCCCTATGCCCCCTTTTGCTGGCATCAACTTTTAAGGAAAATCCAAGCCTTGATTTTATCCTGATGAAAAGCTGCTGAATTGGCAAAAGGGTACAAATTATTTATTCCGGGACCAGCTGAGCAAGGGCTGAGTGCAAGCTGCCCTCATGCACCTACAGCAGGCACCTTCCCACATGAAACAGTATGGCCAGTTCCCAGTTTTGGTACCAAAGCCCTCGTGAGAAAGTCTTCCAACAGCTCTGTGCTGGGAGGGCCGCAACCACTGCCCCATCTCATACGGGAGATTTAATAAACAGCAAGCATTGTTTTGGGTCCAATATGGATCTGGAGACCACTCCACATGAGCTCGAGAAGCTTCCCATCCCTCTAACAGCACCTGAGGGCCACCACACCCTAAGCTGCTTAGCATTAAAGGAGCACAAACAGGACCCATGTAAGCTAAATTCATTCCTCCTTCATAGCAGCATCACACCTCGGGCTTTACACAAGCTCAGCCACCCTTTTTAAAGCAAAGAGAGGTTTTGTGCACGTTTGGAGGAATGGACTACCTGTCACCCAAGACCATGCATTGTTTTGGGGCAGGAGGTAGGCTTTCCAGCACACCTGGGCTGCAGAAAAACCTGCAGCCCACCAGGGACTCAGGGGGAAAAGCAGTGACACCATCTCGTTTCCACAACCGGGTTGTTGGTAGGCAGACAGCTGTGTTTCTGGAAGGGGAAATGATCCCAATTAGCTTTCCAGGTGCTCTCTTGTAAATGGCTTTCAGGTGGTACAACCGGGTCTGACTGCAGTCCAGGGCTTTGTCTCTCTGAAAAAAGCCTTCTGTGTTCCCCTCCCGCCCCCATCCGCTCCCCCCTTACAAAGGAAGAGGGAGACCATCCAGGAGACAAGAAAACACACATACAGCATGGGTAATTGCTATTTTAAGAACGTACTTTATACAAAATAACCAATTTATATGGAAATAAAATCTACAGACCTCCAAGGATCAAGCTTTTAAAAAAGTTCTTTAAAAAAATTACCCAACACACAGTATTAAACTAACTATTGAGGTAACTGTCGCTCTTGGGGAACAAAGGTAATCAGCAGACCAAGACAAAATATACACAATATAAAAATAAATAGCATTCCCCTTTCCAGTATTGACCAGGAAAGTTCACACAACTTTGCAGCAGCAGGAGAGAGAAGAGGATCCCTGACACTGTGCTCGACGGGATGGGGAGGGAGGTGAGGGGAAAGAGCCGGGGCTCCTGGGCACCAGGTGATGGAGAGGTGCAGGATCTGAGCCCCAACTTGGGGAGAGGAGCACCGGGGCGAGCAACTCCAGCATGAACTCCTTCCACTGAGAAATTCAGGCTATCAAATCCAACTTTTCCTTAACAGCATGGCCAGCTCAGTGTCTAACCCAGCTGAAAACGAGCAGGACCAGCCCTCAAGCGTTAGGTCCCACCACCCAGCAAAACACCCCAGCCCCGAGCCCCACGCAAGTCAGATTCCCCCCCACTGAAGGATACAGGCAGGGTTGTTTTCACAGCTTGGTGTGGGGGGGTCTCTGCTGCAGCATCAGCTCACCCTCCCGTTGCCCTGGGACAGTTGCAATCAGTTGACAAAGGCCAGGCTTTTGCCCCAGTGGCTCCTAGACCCCCCCTCCCCGCCCAACAGCCAAAAGCACAGCAACATAAGAACAGCCTCACCCAAAAAGAGAAAGGCCCCCGTTTTCTCCTTGTGCCCCCAACAGACAGATTACATTCTTTACAAACTTACAATAATACAAAAAAAAAAAAAAAAACCAACAATGTATTTTAGCATTTTTATTATAGTTTTGGCTAATGCCAGTACATAAAATAGTATATAACAGATTTAAGTGTTTTGGCAGTATCTAATCTGGGTTATTGAGCCTAGTTTGTCCGCTTTTTGTCCCAGTGTACATCAACTCCATAGTAGTACAGTTGCACTGACAAATCTTATTGGGGATTTCTGTGTGAAATGGATGAAGAAATGTATTTCAAAAAAAAAAAAAACAAACCAACAAAACAAAACCAAAAAAACAAACACCCCAGCATCACCCAACTTCAGAAAAATGGACGTAGTGGTGTAGGCTCTCCTGCTACCTCCCTCATCAATGCCAAGAGAAGCAGCAGCGGGTCACTCTCCTCCCCCAGGGGCATTAAATCAGCCGTGTCCCCACCCCTTGCTCTGTGGCAGCAACAGGTACCCCTCTTCCATGGGCTCTGCTTCGTGGATGAGGCTCACCTTTACCAAATTGCTCCCTTCCCTTTCCACCTTCCCGACCACCGAGGAAGCGGCCAGCTCTCTCCCGGCTACCTACATCAATCCAACAGTGGCTGGGAAAGCAGGAACGGGGTGTAGATAAAACGCAGGGCCACAGAAATGGGTAATTGCACCTTATTTCCCACTAAAACTGTGCCCCCCCCCCCAGTGTTTCATAGCCATTCGCTCCCTGAAACAAGATGGGAAGGTCAAAGTTGCACCGCTGCACGTTATTATTGCTCCAAAAAGATCAGGCAGCGGTGTTCACTCATCTATGGAGGAAGAGAGGCAACAATTTTCACAGTTGTACACAGTATATATTTTTAACCTAAGCCCCCTTGGAGGTTGACGTGCCAGGATCACGCGTGGGAGCCCTGCACAGGAGCAAAGCCTTGTGCTGCCAGAGGGACAGGTATTGCCCGTGCCGGGGTGGCAAACCCCAGGACCGCGGGGGAGAACTAGTGAGCCACTGAGAACAACCTTAAATTCATGAGGAGAGTAAATGTCTACTCCCCACCTGCTTTTTATATGCCTGTGCAGAGGAGACAGCTGGCAAGTTCAACCTTCTGCCCTTCTGCTCACGTGGGCAGTGAGCTTTCATCTCTGCGCTTGACAGCAACCGACCGCAACAAAGTGAGCAGAGGGAGAAAAAACCTGAAAGCTTGGAAGCAAGGACAGGGGAAACGTTGGCTCATGACACAAAAGGGGATCAGAGGACTTCCCAGACTTAAAGTCGAGGCCCAAGCTCCTGTAGCTGCCTGACCGGCTTCAGATAGGGAGATTGTTCCTCAGACGTACTCAACAGTGTTTGAAAGCACTAGGTATCTGCTTGCCTCTTACTGATTTGATGGCCAAAGGAGTCCCTAATGGCCATCTGGTCTAACTTTGTCCATAACAAGGGTATTTTGCCCACATAAAGTCAGTTTCACTCCTATTTAGAAGATACTCCACTTACTACACTTCTGCTAGCGAGCCATGTGTTTCCAAATAATAAGGGAAAAGGACAGAGGAACTTGCTAGAGCTGGTGACAATCCCAATTTATCCCTAACCCTAACTAATCCTTCATACCCCTTTCCACTGGTGGATGTAGCTCTTGCTCTCTCCTGGATGCACTGTCTGCTTTGACAACCACATTTCAGAAGGAGGAAGACCTTTGCCAAAAGAAATCTAGGCCACTGCTGCAGATTAAGGAAAAAAAAACCCCACCTCAGTCGACACAAGGCCAGCAGGGCTAAAACCACAAAATGCTCCAGGGTCTCTCAAACGCTGCATGTGAGCCGAGGCAGGAGAGTAATCAGAAAGGGCATGGCATCACACAGCTCACAACACCTGTGCTTCGAAGGTACACTTGGATGCTACTATCTAGTTTCAAATACAACCCTGTCCTGAATTCCCTTGCCAAGGAGCGGACTGAACCGTGCTCTTATCATCCCATCTCTATTTGGAGACAGCTGGAAATGGGGGCCCCCCCAGCAATTTTTCAGAGAGGGAGGTGGGCAGCGGAGAGTGAAAATCAGAACGCGTAGTTCATTATGTGCTGGTTAAAAGCATTTTCCTTCCGCATGGGCGGCAGGGGTCCTGCCAAGCCCAAATGTGCTTTACCCCCATCTGTATGTTAAACAGGTACAGATGGGGAAAGGCTGGAAGGTCAGCGTTTGAGATGCTTTCCCCGGTTACAATAAGCACATGCTCTTAAAGCTTGTCACATGGCCTGCAGCTGCAACACGACTTTCATAGCCCGCTATCTCAATCTCAGCCCTCCAGAAAGGATATGGCACTCACACACCTGCTCTTCAACCACCAGCACTGTACTTAAAGCGAAACAGGAATCCTGCAAGAGCAAATTCCTCTCCCACCAATGCACCCCAGCAAAAGCTTTTTTTAAGGGGATGCTCTGATTAAGCGTAGACCCAATTGCGTGGCTGCTCTGCAACGAGGGGGAACCAGAAGCAACCACACCATCACCAATTCCCGTTTGTCTTCTCCAAGCTACCTCTTGGGATGGTGCTTCCCCATCACTCGGTTCAGCACCTTCTCCAAAACTCCACAATGCACATGGCAGCACTGTCTCCTCGGAAAAGGGAAGCAGAATAAAGCCACTGAGAGCAAAGCAGCAGCCCTGGCTGAAAACAGAGATGCACAGAAGACTGACAGAGATCAGCAGAGGGGGAAAATAAAAAAAAAAAAAAAAAGAAAAAAAAAGAAGGTTGTTTTCTAATTACACTTTCATTTTAAATGGAGAAGCGTTGGGGTGAGAAGCTGCAGGAGAACTGCCTCAGTCAGCAGAATGAAAGACAGCCTCTGTGACTAGCTTTCAGATAAGACATCAAGAAGCTGATAGCGCTCCAAGACCCCGAGAAACCACACTTACAAAAATATACACAGGAGATTTGTTTCGGAAAGCCTGCATGGGAAAGGCATTTGGCAGACAAGAAAGGATCAGAAGCTCTTCCAAGAAAAGTGTCTCCATGTACTTTAAAGTCAAATCAAACCAGTTGGGCCTTAAAGCTTCAAATTTACTTTCCTCTTTTGTCCTCTTCATTGCAGGCTGGTGCCTTGGATTGCTACTGAGTGGTTTGGTGGGTCACACCACAGAATTTATAGCCTGCAAACTTATGCTGGACACAGCTAAAAATCACTGTGAAGCCTCAGTGACTGGCCTTCTTAAAATACTTAAGTTGACTTGCCAGGGCCTGCAGTGCTTAAGATGCCTGAAGCTTCCAGAGTCCCAGGGGAAGTTTATACAATGGCATTTATAATGGCAATTGAACATCTTGGGAACACCACACACCACTTGCAAAAGGCGAGGCGGTGGGGAGAGCAAGATGCTAAAAAGCCCAAGTAGCGTACAAAGCTCTTCTGAGAATATTGGAAATTTTTGGCATGCTCAAGCACAGTCAACATCATATTTGTCCTACGTATTATATAGACTCATTTAACATGAAATCCGTAATTACAGCAAAACACATCCTCCATATGAGGAAAGTAAAAGCTGCAGGAAACTTTGCAAAGTTGCCAGCTCAAGATGGTTGCTGAGGAAAGACAAACTGCTAATATACTCTACTACACTGATGCTGGGGGATGAGAAAGAGGGCTTCCAACTAGAGTCCAGAATTGCTCTGTATGTGTTAAAATATTATTTAAGATAGCGACACGAGTATGGCACTCATAAGCCAGGGTATTTTAAAATGTAGCTACACTTCTCCTGCACTGTATGACAAACCATAGCAAAAAGTACCACTCTGTACATAAAGAGCTGCCATTTTACTCTCTTCTGAATCCCTCCTTAAAGGTGTGTCTTTCACAATCTACGAAACAGCCCTGCGCAGCATGGGTTGGGATCCCATAAACTACAAAATTCATATTTTCTGCTTCTCCCTGGGCATTTCTACTGGTCTTCCACCCCAGCAATCCACTCCCAGCCCCATGCGGTCGGAGGGGTGCCAATTTTCCATGATTTGCTCAGATTGCACTTGAGATAGAGCTCTGATTTTTGGGCCATCCCTGGGCATCATCATAAAAAGAAAAGAAAACCCACCCAAACCCTTAGGAACAAAGCATTTGAAAGTCTGAAAACTCCCGAGTGAAGATTCCACTAGCAGCTCTCCATCTAGCATGCCCTGTCCCCAGGATAGCCCAATCCTTGTAGCCCAGCCATGGTTTCCCCTACACTGTATTAGCACTTTTCTAATATAAACCATATGCCCTCAGAACAGCAGCTTGTTAGTCACTTTAATAAGAATCACTGACTACATCAAAAGCCATTTACCCAGAAACTCTCCCAGGAGGGAGTAGCTTCACTACTCTGTTTTGTCTACCATCTGCAAGTCAAACCCTTCTCCCAAATTTCCGTCAGGTGAGGGATAATACCTTGATGTCACACACTCCATATAGGATCCTCAGAGTATTTATCACTGTCTAACACTCCACTATGCTCTATAGGCAGACCACAAACAATTCTTGCCTTTCTTATTTGTCCCCTTTTTTGATCTGGGCTTGGTACTCATCCAGATACCATGACCACTAGAACCATGTTTTCAGTGCCAGTTCCAGCCCAAGGCCAAGAGTGCTTCAGATTGCTTGGGTTTTTTTAGAGCTTGTAAAAACCTCCTGTCCCACAAAGTTCACAATGAGCTGAATGAAAGGCACTTCAAATATTCGGGTAACTGTCTATTATACAGAAGACACAGGCTGTTTGCAGAATCTACATTCACATTTCCAGAATTTTGAACACTTTGCTACAAGTTATATTTCACAGTTCCTCTATTTTCAAATGTGATATTTCAAATTACTTTTAGATCTACAATGAACTAAAGACTGCTTTACAAGGAGAAGCAGCTGTGTATTAATTTGTCCCAGGTTTGTTGTCTTGAAGAACAGTTACACTTGCACAGTTTTTCATAAATACCTACTACTGCTTCAGTACCTCCATTCAGGGAAGGATCCAGACCTGCATCTCAGAGCAGCTGGGGCATCTCTGAAAACCCACTGCCAGCTGACGAGTCAGCAGCAGACCCTCAGATGTGGGACAAATTTGGATGAGCAATAGCATAATGTTCTTGGCTGGGGAGAGCATTTGCCTGCTTCTCAAAGAACAACCTTCAGCATCATCTATTCTAGTTTATACTAATCCACCAGCGACAATTGCTCCCTGTGTTTATAAACTTGCGTGTGGGAATAGCATGAAGAAGTTTAACTCCTGTTGGGTTTGGAAAATGCTTTGGCCCTACACAACTCATAAGATACAAAAGTACAGTAACAATAGAGCAGCGAGACCCATTGGTAAGAGGGCATTGATGTGGCAGTCCTTCCATGTTCTAACTATTTCAAGAAAGAATAGTTCTCATCTTTTAGGCTTTTTGTGCTTCCAAAAGCTTCAGAAAGGAGTAATGGCTCAGTCAGATGCTACCTGTCATTTGCTCAAAGAGCTTTGCCATCACACAGTAGATCTACACAGAGGACAAAGGCGGTGCAGTCCTGCATGCTAGTGCAATCCAGCTAAAGATACGGGTGATGGCACCATCCAAGACAACAAAGCAGCCAGAAAAATTCTCCAGAAACCTGGAAACAAAGACGCTCCCCTACCCTAGCTGGTACCACAGACTAAAGGGCATGCTGCTCTCACCTCACTTCTGCTACCACTTGCTAGCACAATTTGTCCAACACGTTGGCACATCCTCCTTTTAACTATACTGCTGTCCCCCCAGTGCAACCAGCAGCCTGCATTAGAAAAACCCAAGAACAATCAGCTGTGTTAGCTTTAAGATGCAAATAAACATCTGCAGACGAGATTCCTACCAAACTCATTTGTCAAACCTACATTTGAACACCAGCGTTGGCAAAGCACTGGCAGTCAGGGGTTCCCCAGTGCAGTACTGCAACTGGTGAAGAAGTCACTGCAGACTGCGTATGCCCTCCGAGGGAAGCTACCACGAGCCCTGTAGGACTTGCTGCTACAGCGTCAGTGATGACGAAGGTAAAACCAACTCAACTCGAGCACGTGGCCCTCTTGTTCCTCACCCTCTGAGCCACACCACCTCAATGTTTGTTCTCAAATCAGTGCTTTCTGATTCACCTGCGACTTGCACATGCCAAATCCAACTCCATAGGCCAACACATTGCTCCCACGGCAGCAAACCAACCATTCCCCCAAAGCAGCCTCATGCTCCTCCTCCACCAGCAACTGACAGTGGTCAGGAACCCTGGAGTACCTTCTGCTTCTCTGCTGATAAGAAGTGAACATAGACATGGGACAGAGAAAGAAGGGTGGGGATTCAGCTTCTCTGCTCGGGCAGCAGGGCAGCACAGATTTGCACAGTATTTGTTCTACTGGATAGATGCTGCTCTACCCCCAGCTGCACCAGTTTCACCGAAAGAAGTCTAAGATGACCAGTTACGCCATTTTCTGTTTTCTAGAGCATACATTTCTCCTATCACAAAGGCAGGGAGAAGGGTACTATACTAGCAGAAGGGACAATGCCATGAGTATCCTGTCCTGGTTTCAATTCCTGGTCCTGGTTTCCTTGTTCCCCCATGATGACAGGAGCTGGAAGTGCACTCAGGCCCTGGATCCAGAGGGGGCAGAGGTGGGGGTGAGAGAGGGAGGAGGAAGACGACAAGAGAAAGAGGAGGACATTATGCTCCTGAGCAATTCCTGCTATTAAGTCAACCAACCGTCAGGTTGTGTCTTGGTTGCAGAGGATAGGAAAGAGGACAGCAAGTCATCCATCACACGTTCCTTCACCTCTCTCCACTTCCCCCAAACCCTCACCCTATCCTGAAAGATTTCAGTGTGATATGATTGTAAACAGTTACGGATTCCTCCAGTGCTAAGCCCACTACACGCTGGGCCCACCACCTCCCCCATTATGTACAATACATTCACCAACAACAGAAATTTATTTAAAAAGGCAACAGGTTAAATTCTGTAAACTGGATCCAGCTCCAAACCACACACGTTAATACTACAAGTAAAATTCCATCATCATCGTCTTCCACCCTGAAAAATATACCTGAGTTTAGCAGTCAATGAAAGTTTCTGCTCCCACCCCCGCCCTCCCCACCCCCAAAAAATCCCTCAAACCCTGAACGAGACGCAGTCTCCGGTCACAGAAAGCCACTAGGTTTGCGATGCTCGCCCTGCGGTGGCGACCCAGCTGCTCGGCTGGCTGGGGCCCAGCACCGCTCCAGGTTTCCAACACAAAAGCCGTGGCGGCATCACGTTCCGCGGACCCAGGAAGCTACATGCTGCTCGGGCGAGGGGAGGGTGGGAGGAAAGTCTGCCCCTCCTCCCCCTTGTCCAAATCACGTGTGGCTTTCATATTCGTGAGGTCCGTCCTTCCTCGGACTAGCTCTGGAAGAGGAAGAACAAGAGTTGGAGGCTTTAACTGGCAACTTTAGAAAGGAATAACCTCACAGAATCACAGAATCTTCTAGGTTGGAAGGGACCTCAAAGATCATCTTGTCCAACCGTCAACCTAATTTTGACAAAAATAGACACCCGCACAACAAACAAGAAGCATCACCATCACTAAACCATACCTCCCAGCACTACATCAACCCGTCTTTTGAACACCTCCAGGAATGGGGCCTCAACCAGCTCCCTGGGCAGCCCATTCCAATGGCTGATAACCCTTTCAGTGAAAAATTTTTTCCTAATATCCAGCCTGAACCTCCCCTGGCGTAGCTTGAGGCCATTTCCTCTCGTCCTGTCGCCTGTGACTTGAGAGAAGAGACCGACCCCCACCTCTCTACAACCTCCTTTCAGGTAGTTGTAGAGAGCAATAAGGTGTCCCCTCAGCCTCCTCTTTTCCAGGCTGAATAATCCCAGCTCCCTCAGCCTCTCCTCATAAGACTTGTGCTCCAGACCCCTCACCATCTTTGTTGCCCTTAAAAATTGCATACAACCAATGCTAGCAATATTGGTCCACCTAGGTTACGTTTTACACTCATCTAAGTCTAAAGAGACATCCCCAACTCCTCTGCAGAGCAGTAGTCCACCTCCCAGCTTCCTCCAGTGCTTTACACCCCCATCCAACACTTCACTCCTGTAACTGGTGGGAAGAGAAAGACTCTTATTTCATCTATTGGCCCTTACTTGATCCAGAGGCAACGCTGATGGTTTTTGTGGCGTCAAATCTTCCCGGGACATGGTTGCTGTAGGCATCTTCGGGAAGGGAGCTTGAGCCTGATGCATTTGCATTCTGGAGCCAGGTTGAATGGAGAGAGTTTTAGCACATGAACATCAGGAGCAAATCCCATCTACTTGGTTGAATGCATACATACAACATTCGCATACAAGCATGCGTCTCGCGTATTCTTCTTTCTGGCTTCCCCCCAAAACACAATCTTTAATCCATGCCACCCCCTCAATGGCTTAGTTGTAAGCCAAGCCCCCTGAATACTTGGAGGAGGACTGTCATGCTGGGACTATAACAAAACAGTAGCAGTTGAAGCACATTGATAAAATCTCAACAGGGAATTTTTGGAGTAGTAGAGTTTCCCACTTGGGAATAAAATGTGACAGGCACAATCTCAGTGAGAAGTAATTTTCAGTGAGGGAAATTGGAGACAGCAAGGAAGGGCAAAGCAAGAGGAGGGGAAAAAGAGGGCAACATAAAAGGATTTCATAACAAGTTCATAACTTTAGTTAACTACTCTGCCCCTCTATTGGAAAGATGTAATAAAATTCTTGCAAAGAAAATGGTAAGAGCTCATTTGATTACGAGATGCACAACCCTGGATGACACATTAACAAAACACTGTCAGATAAAACAAAATACTGGTGTGGGGATGAGATGGATGGGACAGGCTAACAGGTCTCCACGATGGCTATTGCTGCTTGTTTTTAAGAAGCTGCAACAAAACTCTCTCCAGCTTACAGAAAGGTCTAAGAGACCTTTTACTCCAAGGGTGTAAAAGTCATCTGTTAGCCTCTCAAGAGTACTTGCCACCTCCTCAAGAGTACTTGAAGAGAACTTCAACCCATGTTCTTCCAAGGATATCCAACACTTTTTGTCACCCGGGCATCACCCCCCTCCCACCTTGCCTTCTTGCAGAAAACACGGTCTTACCCCGAGGGTCTATACAAGTCCTGGGGTGGTCCCCCCATGCCACCTCCACTGCCTCTCTGCTCCATCAGCAAGGCCTGAAAGTGACCTACGTTCTCCTCCCGGCAGCGGTACAGGGGTCCCTCCTGAGAGAGGCCGTTGGCCTGGCTGGAGGCCGGATGATGAGACAGATGAGCATTCATGGGCGATCCATATGTCCTGGGCTGGAAATGACTGGCGGGATGCCGCGATCCATAAGGAGAGCCAGTCTGTAGCATCACCCCGTGGGGAGGGAAAGCCGATGGGCCGAATCCCATCCCTGAACCCAGGTGTGGTGGTGGGGCTCCATAGAGGAACTCCCCCGTTGCCACCGAGCTTTGCCTCTTCGTGGCTGCGTTGTGGTTGTCCAAATCAAGGAACTCTTTGGGACTCTCCGGCCTTTCCTGGGACTCCTCGGACTTCTCCTCTTCAGGCCCCAGATCCTGCCCATCGCTCGGAGAAACCTCTTTGGCACTCGCTACGTCCATGCGGTTGGGAGAGGCCAGGGCAGCGCTCAGCGCCTCGCAGCCCTGCAAGCTGCTGGCCGACCCCCTGTCTGAAAAAGGGGGTCTGGCCAGGGGTGGGTGGGCGGTGGGGTGCCCGCTGGGGCTGGCCTGGGGGTGGAGAGGCCTCTGCCAGTCCGAGTAGCCCTGCGGACAGGCGTAGTAGGGCGGTCGCTGGTAGTGGTGGTAGGAAGGTTGAGGTTGAGGCTGGTAGGGGTAGGGCATGCCCTGGGGGGGTCGATAGCGGGGGAAGACGCCGGGGTGGGCGCTGCTTGGCTGGAAACCCCGAGGGGAAAAATGCTGGGGGTGGGAGGAAGGAGGAGGAGGAGGAGGATGCTTTCCCCCCATCACGGGACCGAAGCCCTGCAGGCTTGGGTTGATGTGGTAGCGCCCAGCTGAATTGGGGTATTCCAGACTGGGCATGTAGAGAGGGTGGAACTGGTTAGGGGTGGCCCCCATGGAGCTAGCGTCCACGCCGGGGAGTCCGGTGCCCTGCCCCATGCAAGGCACGGCCGCTTCGGGCACAGCCTTCCCCCCACCACAGAGGGGCTTCTCCAGCAGGTTGGTGGCTAGCCCCTTCCCCTCGGTGCTGGCTGCTGGCCCCTCGCCCGCTGCCCCGTTCTCAGGCAGGGGACCTCCTCTCTCGGAGGTGGGCACCAGGTCCCTCACGCAGCCCGGGCCACCAGCATAGCCACTTTCTGCTGGCCACGTGCCTTTGCCCTGCCCTGTCTTCAGGTCGCCCTTCACGCCAGAGCCATCTCCCTCCCCGTCTGGGGGCAAGGCGCGCCTGGTGCACTCCATAGGCAGTGGGGGTTTGGGATGAGGTAGGAGTTTGGTGTAGGCCCCGTCGGGAATGCCGATGCACTGAGCCTTCTCGTCCACACCTGCCGGCGGCTCCACTGGAAAGAGAGGGGAGAAAAGTCATGCGTCGGTCTAGTTTTGGAAATCGGCCCTCCCCACCCAACACACACACGCGCCTACTCACACTCACTCAAAGTACTCATGCCAAAGAGTAACTCCTGCCAACTTTAGCAGGTCTACCAAAGTTGCCTCTCACCATCCTCTCCTGCTGCTGACCCAAAGCTGCTGGGTAGCTCTGTCCAACAAGTCCCTAACATCAGGATGGAGAAATCATCCCACTTTAGTGCAAATGGAAGAGAGAAAGGAGTGACTTTCTAAAACCATGAAGGTCCTTCCATCCTAAGTACTCCAAAGTCTACAATGTCCTCTGCTCAAACCTCTCTATAGGACTGTTGGAGCAGGGCACAAGGACAACTGCTCTTCTGTGGGGTTGCAGCCTTCCTCCCATACCCATCACACAGTCCTCCCTTCAAAGACCTTTAGCTATTTGGAAGTGCATTTTTGCAAAGTTGAGTGACCTTTAGTAGCTGCTTCTTTTCACTGAATTTTTCACTGAATTTTTAGAGTTGGAAGGGACCATAGAGATGATCTAGTCCAACTCCCCTGCTGAAGCAGGATTGCCTAGAGCTAGAGCATGTTACTCAGGACGGCATCCAGGCGGGTCTTGAAAATCTCCAAAGAAGGGGACTCCACAACCTCCCTGGGCAGCCTGTTCCAGGGCTCTGTCACCCTCACTGTGAAGTAGTTTTTTCTCATATTTGAGTGGAACCTCCCATGTTCCAACTTGTGCCTGTTACCCCTCGTTCTCTCACTGGCAACCGCTGAAAAGAGTCTGGCTCCCTCCTCCTTCAAACTACCCTTTAGGTACTTATAGGCATTGATAAGGTCTCCCCTCAGCCTTCTCTTCTCCAGACTAAAGAGTCCCAGCTCTCTCAGCCTTTCTTCACAAGGAAGAAGCTCCAATCCTTGAATCATCACTTTAAAAGAGTTCTTTTAAAAACTACTCATGAGGTTTCACCTCTCTTGGAAAAGTGGCACGGGTGGACTGAACCCTGAAGATACAGGCACACTGTAGATGGCAAGCCACCGATAAGTCACACCTCCATGGGACTAACATCGCACACATGGGTTTGGTTTTACACATGGGTGTGCAGAGACAGAGTTGGGAAATACTGCATTGGGGTCCACATGACAGCAAGATAAGAAGTCGGGGTAATGGCAGGCAACTTGATTTCAGGCTACGTTGCCCCTTCTGATCCACAAACCCCACTGGCCCACAGCTTGGGCAGAAGTGCTACCACACACTGAGATGCCGCGGAGCTGATCACAGCCATATTTTAACCAACTGTGATTTGGGGATGCGGCTACTCTGCCCTGCAATCACTCAACGTCCTCCCCCAGTCTCTGTTCTATATCCAGCACAGTTAAATGATGATGGCTTTTAAGCAATGCCACACAAGGAAAGAGTTTCCTCTTAGTGCAAGGCACACGAGGGATCGATAAAAGATGCAAGGGTTTTGATCTCTAGTTTACCAGCTAGAATTAATGAAAAAAAAAAATTTTTTTTTGATCTCTGGGGTTTTTTGATCTCTACTTTAGGTTTGTTTTCTTTTTAAGGGTTTTTTTTTTTGATCTCTGCTTTACCAGTTAGAACAAATGAAATTCAACTGGAAAGAAACTCGTGATGGCACACACGACATGCTGCCATCCCACCTGAACTGACATGGCTGCTCAGGGGCTTTTGGGCAGTCCTGTAGCACGAGGATTTTGAGATGTTGAGAGCTCACAAGGCACATGTGCATTTCAGAGGAGAAGCTGTACTGACATAAACTCGAAGGAGTGTATTTAAACCTTTTATTCACATAACGTCTTCTTTCCTTACCTAACTCTCTGCAGATCTAATTTTTATATTAACTCCACGTGAGCTCTAGAAGCATCACAGCCTATGCTTTGCATTTGCACCCCATGGCAAACTGATAACTTGCAGGTACAGCTGGGACAGAGGGGACCTCTGGCAGGTTACAGTGAAACAAAGCAGTCTTAGAAAAATCTAAGCCATGGCTGGAGTAGAAAACATATTCCAATTTAGGTTAAAAAAAATATAGACACACACGTGTAAAACCTGTGTCCCCCACAACTACTTAATCAAGATTTTAATTCTTTTCTAGAAAAAAAAAAACCCTGCTTTTGCTGCTGAGCCTCAGCCACCATTTAAAATTGACTCCTTGAAGGTCAGGACATATTTTCCAGATAAAGAAACGTTTTCAGACACAGGTTTTGTGCATCTGTGTGATGGTTAAGGTTTGTGCCTGCAGGTTTGGAGCCCAAGAGCTGCAAAGCTGGCCTGGGGGTGCTCCTGGCCCCGTCCCCACAATCACACAACAGCAGGCAGTGGGAAAATGGGAAAAGGGCATGGGAAATGGGGCAGCCAGCCGGAGGGATGCCAGTCAGTGAGCAAAGGGGCAGGTGGGTAGGGGGGATGGCAGGCAATGGAGGTGGGCAGGGAAGTTACCGGTGGGTGCTTGAAGGGGTTTACCTTGGTTACTCTCCGTCTCCATGGTCTGGCCGGTTGGATCCTGGGAGTTGCCGTTCCCCACGACGGGTTTGGGGGGCTGCCCGCCGGCGGCAGAGGCGGCGTGTGCCAGCTGGGGAAAGGGTCCGGGGAGGTGCGGCGGGGGCGGCTGGCGAGGGTGGTAAGGCACACCCGGCGGGCACACGCGGGAGGACAGCTGCTGCATGGCGATCATCTCCGGGCTGTCCATCATGGAGTCCCCGCCCTGGCACCCTCTTTGGACCTGAGGGGGTCCCCCAAACAGAGCGGACGGCGGCTGCGGCATCCTCTGCCCGGCGGCTTTCCCAGGAGGTCTGATATACCCTGAGGGAGGCACCCCATGAGGTAGGAAATTCGATTGCTCGGTCCACTGGCTGGGAGGCAGAGGTGGCCTCATGGCCCGGGGGTCCATCATATGACCCAGGGCGCGGGGCTGGAGCGAGGGTCCCGGCCCCATGGGTGCCTTCTCCTCCGGCCCCACAGTGCCCTGCCCGGTGGGGCCATGGCTGCCATTCCACAGGGCTGGGTGTGCGCGGTTCAGGTACTTGTAGGGCCGGTACATGTGCCCCGGGGGGACCTCCGAACCCTCTGGTGGTCTCACGGGGGGACCGTTGTGCCTCGGGGGGAGGAAGCCCTGCTGAAACTGGGCCGGTGGGTAGACGCCGGCGTCGGGCGGGGGGCCGCTCATGCGTCCCAGCTGCAGGGCACCTGGCCGGGGGCCGAGGCCGGCGACGTGGGTCGGTCCTGCGCACGCCTGCTTCTCCGGGGCGGCCAGCCTGTGCCCACGGTGCTCGCTCAGTCCCACGGCCGGCTGGGGAGGAGGAAGAGAGAGAGAGAGAGAGAGACATGGTGGGTCTCGGTGAGAGCCATCGCACCAAGGACCTGTGGGTCACAGAATCACTTGGGGTTGGAAGGGACCTCTGGAGACCATCTGGTCCAACCCCCTGCCAAAACAGGTCCACCCAGAGCAGGTTGCACAGGAACGTGACCAGGTGGGTTTTGAATGTCTGCAGAGAATGAGACCCCACCACCTCTCTGGGCAGCCTATTCCAGTGCTCTGCCACCCTCAAAGTAAAGAAGTTACTAGTGTGACCAGCAGAAGTAGGGAGGTGATTGTGCCCCTGTACTCAGCACTGGTGAGGCCACACCTCGAGTATTGTGTCCAGTTTTGGGCACCTCAATACAAGAGAGATATCGAGGTGCTGGAGCAAGTGCAGAGGAGGGCAACGAAGCTGGTGAGGGGGCTGGAAAACAAATCGTATGAGGAGCGGCTGAGGGAGCTGGGGCTGTTTAGTATGAGGAAGAGGAGGCTGAGGGGAGACCTCATCACTCTCTACACTTCGTGAAAGGGCGCTGTAGAGAGGTTGGTGCTGGTCTCTTCTCACAGGTAATTAGTGACAGAACGAGAGGGAATGGCTTCAAGCTACAACAGGGTAGGTTTAGACTGAACATTAGGAAAGAATTTTTCACCGAAAGAGTGGTCGGGCATTGGAACAGGCTGCCCAGGGAGGTGGTGGAGTCACCATCCCTGGCTGTGTTTAAGGGCCATTTAGATGCAGTGCTAAGGGACATGGTGTAGGGGAGGACTTTGTAGAGTAGGGTAGATGGTTGGACTCGATGATCCCAAGGGTCTCTTCCAACCTAGACGATTCTATGATTCTAAGATCCTCCTCACGTTTAGGTGGAACTTCTTATATTCAAGTCCTGGGCTGCAGGTTCCCTTGGCTGCAGCACTTCTTCTTACCTGCATGGCAAAGTGCTGGTGCTGCTGGACCGGGTCTCCAGGATGGGGCTCAGGCACTCGCGGCGAGCCATAGAGTTTTGTGGGGTCCGATCCACGCAGGGGGCCAAACGTTCCCGGCACGGCTGGTCTCTAGGGGATGGGGAGGGGAGGGGGAGAGAGAAATACAACAATTTGTGACGTGCAGGGAAGCGTCAGAGCTGCTGCAGGTAAGGGGAAGGCAAGGCCGGAGGAACCGCACAAGCGAGCAGATGGGCTTTTTGGAGACACCATGGAAAACCTGTACTCCCTTTCCTACGAGGTGATACAGCTTCCCTGCCAAAGCCCAGTCGTGTCCTCACGCTCAGGTCACGATACACTCACCTGCCACCCAAATACTGGGAAGAAAGCAAGAAGATTGGAGGTGGCAGTGGTTTGCTCCAAGGAGAGGAGCGGATCACAAGAGCACACAAGCAGTACGACAGGGGGAATGTACCAGATTTCCTTCAAAATACTCGTACAACAGGGGAATGTGCTAGATTTCCTTCAAAATACTCATTGCCTCCAGCTCTCCTACTGCCCCCCTCAATTTGCATCACAAGAAGCGCTCTAAAGTTTTTGTTTGATCTCTAAGCTAAAAGGGTAAGGGGTTGCTTGGATCTCAGAGGAGCAGCTGAAACACCACATCACAAGACATCACTGGTTAAAATGGAAAAGGTGGTGAAGGATGGGTGAGGAACAGCCCAGAGGGGAGGCAGAACAGGTGGCATTCAGAGAAGGAATGTTGGGCTAAAGGGAGGTCACTGCTGCAGTCCAGGGTGGCCTCGTGTTTGCTTTCGTTTACTGCTTTTATAAATACTGAAGGCACGAAACGCAGGAGTACACAGATGGCACAAAGTTACCAGGCATCTGTAAACAATTGAGACAAAAGAAGACCCGCTTATTCAGCATCATAAACTGGAGGTTAAGAGAGGAAATGTGACCATTTTCCATGCACGATGGGGTAGCTCTCCAAGGAGAGAAGAGAAGTGGGGGAGCCAGGACTGATGCAAGCCCACAAGGAGACATGCCACCCATGGGAAACATTAGGAGACATGCCACTCATGGGAAACAACTTGTTCCCAGCAAGTGTGGCAAAACTGAAACTGTACCAGTTTAAATCTAAGGGCTAAAAAGTTTCAGATGTAGAAACTATAGCCCTCATCCTTAAAGTCTGGAAAAAGAAACAGTAGAGTTTCCTTCCCCCTTACATCTCTCCCTCCAGCAGGCATGATGGGTGAAGAACAGCAGAAACTACTGCTTACCATCTGGCCGGGATGTGGCACGGGGCTGGGCATGCCACCGTACTGCAGAGAGCGAGGGAAACCTCGCCCGTTGGAAGGACCCACTTCTCGAGGAGGCTGCATGGGATTGCCACTTGGATCCTCTGCGGAGGACGAGGAGAAGGAGGAGGAAGAGGAAGAAGAAGAAGAAGCAGGAGCCCTGGAAGTAGCTCGATATGGTGGAGGTTTTCCTCCATTTTCCAGGCGTTGCTGCCTCTTGCCTGGTCCATCTGGGTCTCGCGACCGAGTCCAAACACTGCCTGTGCTGGAACGGCCAGTCCGCCGGCTCCTCTTCTCTCGTCTTCCATCTTCTCTTATCCAAAACTCCTCATCTGTGTCTCCGTCTTCCCCAGGGAAGTGCTTCATCATTGCTCGGTGGAAACACCTTTCTAAATTGTAAGCCATCTTGGTATATTCTGCAGTAAAAAAACCCCAGCATCATCAGGGACAGAGCCTTATGTAGAGAAACAAGTCACATCAGACAAGTCATGTCCCCTCCCACAAAGTTTCTTTGAAAAAGACTTTTGTTTCTAACTAATTGAGTTTGGTTTAAGTTCTTAAACTCGATAAGCAGCACAGCATCAGAGTTGTTCAGCAACCTCACCAGGGGACAGGCACACAGGCATGACAAAGTACCATTAGCAGCACAGCTTGCAGAGTCAGCATTAACCCAGTGTCCCAGCATAGTGCCAAGAATTACATTACGAGAAGCACCACCTCTGCTCGCAGAGATGTGTGACCTGCACAGTTAGCCAGCAGAGTCCTGAGAGAAGAAATGTGAACTTCCAGCAATGCTTTTTGATTATGTTCAGAGGCTTTTCTTGGACCTGTTCAAATCTCTGCTGTATGCTACAAGACAGAGGAGAACCAGCAAACATATTTATCCACGTAGGGTTTCTAAAGCACTTGCTGACACTGACACGAAAGCTATTGCCAACACCAGTGTCCCCATTGCGTCATTTCCACAGGACAGTTCTGCTCAGAGGGGCTCCTACTTTTCATTGGAGTGGATAGGAAGGAAAAGACATGTGAGAGGTGTTAATGACAAGAGCTTAAAGCAAATGACTTTCCAGTTGTTTCCACTAAACTAACCCAGAAGTTCCTCGGGAAACAGAGCTCTCCCAGTGGCAGTGCAGGAATGCTTTTACTTGGGGCCCACAGTGACAAGCTGGGTAGCTCTATTTTCCCTTTCAAGGCGGTGCTGGTGAGACACAGTCTGCAGTGATGACCCACCATATGGGAGCCGGTTTCTTACCTAGGCAACATGCAGAATTTTAATTGGCATGGCAATTAAACCCAGGGTTTCCTGTTTGTAGTCACGGTTGTTCCTTCAACAGCCAAGGAACCTAAACCCTACATTTTCCATCCAAAGGACGACAAACCTGGGTTTTTCCTCACTTTTCTGTGGTACTAAACAAACACTGGGGGCTAAGCAGACTCCTGTGCTTTTCAAAGTCTGTGACAGATATTATGAGACAAAGGAGTGCACTGAGACACACAAGCACACAAAGAAATGAGCTCAGAGACAGGCTCTCTTCTCTTTGTACGTTTTTCACCGTCTACCAACATGAAAGTCCCTTAGCATGTCAGGCCCCATTTCAGTACGAGAAAATTGTGCTAAAAATCTGGCCAAAACCCTAGGCCTTAAAATAATCAGAGGTCCTACTTTTTCACCCAGCCTCCCAAAAGTGCCCTGAAAGAAAATAAGCAGGAATCAAGTACTGGTGAGTAGGGAGAGATCAGTGCTTGCTTTGACTCAGCACTGCAAATAGACGAACTTAGCATCTTGCTGCTCTTACCACTGCCTTCACCATTGTACTTAAGACAGTTCCTGAACATGGTCTTCATATCGCCCACAAATTCTTCCTTGGTGCAGTACTGACCTCCATTCAACTTCTTCTCCATGCTAGAGATGTCCATGGGGGCCTGAAATGCAACAAAACCTCCCTTCAGTTAAAGCAAGCACAGTGGGGCTCACCACGTGGTATAAACAGCTTCCTTACAGAGTGGGGATGGGGAGCAGAGGCTGCTGTCCTGAGAGGCAGCCTCTCATCTTTGGTTTCCCTGACTTGTAAGGCTAGAAAGGACTATTGGGAGTCATGCAGTTTGACTGTGAGGGTAACACAGCCCGCAAAACTTCAAAACACTTCTACAAAAACTGCAACCCAGTCAAAGCGCATCAGTCAAGTCAGCTGGGACCACTTTCCATACCTTAATGATCTGGTAGTAGTTGGGAGCATATGATTCATCGACGGGCTCCAAGAAGGGCCAAGAGTCCTTGTGAGCTTTTACCACGTCTAGAACTGGCAGTAAGAAAGGTGAACGGTTACACACACACGCTCAGGGGAGTATTTCACTTTGAGCAAGTCACGCAAAGGGGAAAGCTGGGGCAGGACTGACCTTTGTACATGGCTGTGAACTCATCATCCAGTTCAAAGCTGTAATGGGAAGCACAACAGTGAATATGCAGACTGAGGACATATAAGACACGCTCTTCTACTTCATCTTCCCTTCCACCCCATGCCATGATGGTGAGAAACAGGACTCAGCACACACACTCCTCTAGTGTGGACCAAATCCAGATATTTCTCAGGTTACTCCTCGCTGTTCTCTAACCTCACTTCTCCCCTCTCATTCCTGTGAATGATCACCCTCCTCTCCTCCCCATACTCATGTGCTGCATGCATGCCCAGCTGCACACTCACAGGTCCTTGGTCCTTCGCTCTTCCCTGGTAGGGGAACTGGGATCCAAGTGGGAAAGCTCAGGGGGGAGCTCCTTCCCCTGCGCCAGCAGCCAGGCCCGCTCTTCACGAAGCTTTCTCCTCCTGGCCCGTTCTGTAGTGGGGAGGGGAGAGAGATGAAAAACCATTCAGCACTCCTTGTCAACAAGATCCTGCAGGAAAAACGAAGGCAGCTCCTGCGACTCTCAAGAACGCCCGTGACATGTTCTTGTTCTTTCAGGAAGAGCAGCAACAGAACAGGAGCAGAGGAGGTGAGAATACAGCACACCATCAACACGCCTCTTCATTTCCCCTTGAATTTACTATCAGTGGTTTTGAAGCATTACTGCGATACAGATGCTCCCCCAGGCAGCTTCCAGACAAATTCCTGACAACGGTGTGGTACAAAGAGAGAAGTTCAATGCACAGATCTAAGCGTAGATCAGCCCTATGGAAAGTGATGGCTTGCTAAGATACCATCCTTCAGATGCTTCACCTCAGCCAGGTGAACTCAAGGCAGCCAGTTTTGCACCAAAGTGGAGGAAGAGCACTGCCAAAGGAAGGGTGAAGTTCTACCAGGTGGGTGGCAATGAGTAACTGGGGTCATTAACATCCTCCACCACCATGGTTAACCTTGAGAAGATTGCTCAGGTAGGCCTTCACGGCCAGCAGCCAGAACGAGCAAGCTGCCACACAGGAGGGCCACTGGGACAGCTTTGGTTTAAGAGGTGAGAGACAGGAAGAAGCAACGCTGGTAATATAACCTGTGGTTTGCAACCAGACAGCTGGCTAACAGATTGCTTCATAATAGAAAGTTTATGGGCTCTTATGAACCTCATTTCCTTTTTCTTATAGGAAACCTGAATTCATTTGACTTGCTAAACACCTGCGGTTGCACCAACTTTCTGTAGGAGCAGAATTCTGCAGAAGCAATGTTCAAGGAGAGATGTCACAGGAGTAAGACCCCAGAAAACAGGCCACATTGGGGACCACTCATAGCAAAAGAAAGATGGGGGATACTTGGTTAATACCCTTTAGCAGAGGCTCCATTTTTGGAACATGTCGAAGACTCAAGAAGCACCAGCTCTGTGGAAAAGTATTAATTTACTGTCTTACTCTGTTTTTGTTAAAAACAAACTTGGGATGGGGCTTGAAGGCATAAAAAAACTAGGAATAGCTGCAAGGTGGTTATTTCCAGGGAGGTCCATGGCCAGGTATGTCAAAGACTGGTAAAAGAAAGTCCAATTTCCTGCTAGAAAATTCTGGATAGCATGAAGTTGTGAGGACAGAACTTGCATCTAAGATATCCTTCAGAATCCAACAGTATCTATCATAACATTTAGTGATGAGAAGTCCAACAACAAATTGCAGTGAACAGAGATTATCTGAGTCTGTCCAAGCATGGTTCAGTACTTCATGCTTTTTTTAATAAAATTAACATCACTTAGATGACATTGTAATGGATACCTAAGTGAGACAGCTGAAAAAAAAATGAGGCAATGCTTTGGGCAGCAAAAGGAAAATCTCATGGCAAGAACAGCCATGAGGTAAGGTGATGTATAATTTTAGAAATCACAGAATCACAAAACGATATGGGGTTGGGAGGGACCTCTGGAGATCATCTAGTCCAACCCCCCAATCCATCAAGGCCTGCCAGGGGTCCGACCTGGTAAATTGACAGGAATCAGGGAGCACTACCCTGGTACCGGACTGGAGCTCACTCAGGATTTAATGGCAGGTCCCTCTACCAGAGCAGATGATTAATATAGTGTGTTAAAGATCACTGGCAGAGCTCGTCATCATGCTGTTGGCCTGGGCTGAGTCCTGCCTACCAGCTTTCAAAGTCTAACCAATGCCCTGTAAAGTACCTCAAACAGCTAGAAAGTCATGTGTGTGAGATAATGTTGGAGCAGCATCTGGGAAGAGAACTGGGAAACTCTAACCTGCTGTTGTGGTAGAAATCTAGAAAGCTGCTTTAACTCTTAAATTCAGGAAAGTACAGATGGACCCAGCAGGAGGCTCGCTACCCGGGGCGCGCGTTGGTGTTGGGGGGAAGTGAAATCCCAGATTGGAAACAGGAGCGTAATCTAAAAACAGGCATACAGTCCCAAACTGAGAAGCAGGTGAGGTGCTGATGAAGTTCATCAGAGAGCAGATATTTCACCCTGTGTTTCACATCACCCCTCTACAGAAGACCTTACAACATTAATGTTAAATCCCAAACAGACTGCAAAACACAAGAAAACCTCTGTGAACAGATGTCCAGCTTTAACAAATCTGAACCAAGCAAAACAAATTACTTAATTTTCAAATCACTTTCTGTCCATAAGAGCTGTCAAGAAAGCAAATGCTAATGGAGGGTGTGCTTGGCAATAAGGAAAGATGGCTAAGAAGCCAAAGTTTTACCTGGATAGCTGCCGTTTCTAGGGATGAAAAATACTGCAGTGGTTTAACTGAACAAGTCAGCCATTTAAATAACCTTTCCAAAAGGCTTTTGCATCAGCTTAAAAGGAGACTTCTCCTGACTTAGCCTAAACTGACTAGGGACAAGTTTACACTAACCTGTAAGAAACTGCACAAACCAAAATAAAAAGCACCTCTGCCAAGAAAAGCGTGAATATATGCTAAATTGGCTTAAAACAGTTTACTGCCCACTCCCATGCCAGTTTCTTTGAATGGCTCTGGTGCCTTTTGCATAAGGTGATGTAGTGATTGCATTCACCCAGAAAAGGACATGGCTTATACCAAAACAAGACCTTTTAACAGGTACGTTTAACTTTGCAGCTCTCTGGAACTTCAAGATTCATTTTGTCTATACAGATGGAGAATTAAAGCGCAGAGAATATGCAATTTGCCAAGGTGAAACAGATATCTGTGGCAGATATAGAAGCTGGATGATTCTCAGTTTAAAGCACCAGATTAGATAGGACTGCCAACCAGGAATATATGAAGGGCAAGCAAGTAATTGGATTTTCTAAAGGTTAGAAAGGTAAGCAGGTAAAAGAAACTATTCTTAGATAACATCTGGTCTGCTACCAAACATCTGGTAGCAGACTGTTTCATCTTGGAAAGTTTACAAGGTCTGCATGAATTTAATCTTTTTTCCTTTTCTGATTCTTTATCCACTTAAGGATTCATGATACTGATACTGCCACACACCACCATCACAGTTTTCTGAAGATGTTCAGCCTTTTCCTGGAACTGCAACAGCCCAGCCAGCCACTGCGGCAAAAGCAGCAGATAAAGGAATCCCCATAAGGGAGGTTTGACAGAGAGAAGGTCATCAGAAATGAGCCTGCTCTTAGACACCAGTGCCTCCATGTACTGGCTAAACACCTGCTGTCTGTACCTTGATCTGACATATTAAATGCAACATGGCTGTTGCTTGCAGAACAGCTTTAATCAGCATTTAATTCAAAACCTGAACACCTGAAGTTGCCACCTCTGGTGCTCTATTTAGCCTGGTCCTCTCATCTTTAATTTTCCAGATGATAAGGCCAGTACCAATATAAAACTACTCTTGCTACTCCCATGTTGTCTCCTTCCCCTCATCCTCAAAGGGAATCCTTTCATCAGGCATTGAGGCAAAAGGACCAAACGCTATTCAGCAAGAGCAAAGCCAGCTGACCCTGAACACAGGAAAATCCATGAGGACACAAGCTGGGAGACAGAAGAGAACTGAGGAAAACCACAAATAGCAGCAAAAAAAGTACAGCTGGGGCAAGGGAGAAAATAAGCATGACTTGAGGAAGATGACACAGTCGAAGGGTGCACCAGAGAACATCTACCAACACACCAAGGGAGATAGACAAAGGAAAAGAAGCTACAGTCAGACCAATTTATCCAAGGTAAGTGCAAGAAAAGATATTCCCATTAGTAGGTCTGGCAGGAGAGGTATGCAAATGGCAAATCTTAATTCAAGATCTCAATCTTGGCTTTGAAAGCTTCCACTCCTGCTTCACACTGGCCGCACATACCTTCCACGGCTTTCACCTTCTCCTCCATCTCTCTCTTCCTCTCTTCCTTCAGCAGCTGTTCCTGCTCCCTCTTCTGTACTGCTATAAGGATTTGGCGCTCCTCCTCTTCCTCTCTGCGCCTCTGCTTCTCCATCGAACTCAGCACGTTCGGGTTTACCTGGGACAAAATGGTGCACCAAAAATTGTAATGCATCGGCTTATTGCAGCCTGAACAGAGGCAGGTTTACTTTGAGCAAGCATTAAAGCACACCTACAATGAATGGCTGGGGGGAAAAAAACAAAAAGAAGGAAGAAGAAACATATGCACATATGAATTTGCAGATGAAAAGCAACATGTAAAGGAAAGTTATTTGTGAAGCAATGAAATCCTACTGACATAGGGACAAAGGAAGGAGAAGCGATGGGTTAGACAAGCTGCCACTCTGCCAGGGGACGCACCTCATGTATTTCCCTTCTGGGCGTAGGATTCAGGCTGCTGACACCACCACACAACACCTCTACGCCTTCCAGCTAGCAAAGCCCTGAGTTGCAAGTGTGAGCAGGAAGGACTACTCTGTCAAAGCTGGCTCTGCTATAAAACACAGTCCTTAGGACAGGAAAAGGGGCCGGTACCACCTTGCATCAAGGTATCGTTTGGGGTATTTTCCTTTCCCCTTCAAAATAGGGCCTGCCATATTTACATGAACTAATCTCCCCCAAACTAGTTCTGGCTTGTTTGTTGGGACAGTTTTCCTGCTGGGTCTCCCAACCAGTTTCCTCATTCAAGGACGCCTGGGTCTTTATTGCCCCACTTCCTACCCCCCACCGCCACTGCCATCAGGCTGCAGAGCTGTGTTTGATCCCTCTGAGACTGCGGGCTCCTCAGCGATCGCCTGCTCCTATTTCTCCAATAAAGTGCGAGGTATCTATATGGCAGTGTGGAATCAGCTTTATTAGCTCAATTTAATTATAAGACAAATGAATCGGTCATCTGCCAGCCACTCCTACCTCTTTGAATTCTGCAAGACCAAGATATGCGTACCTTATCAGCAGGGAATATCGGCCGGAAAAGAACAGTGCCCATACAGTTTTCTCCACCTTCATTTTCAGGGAATAACCAGGCATTTCCTGAGGATTAGTAATCAGCTGGGGTCCTTTGGCTGCTGCTCAGACCATCAACTTCTCCAGGCCCATTATTAATCCCCAGAAAAAAATCTGGCACCACAATTACTATTTTGTCCTTGTTTCATTGCCTAGAAGTGGAACCTTGGGGTGTTTTGGTAAACGCCTAGAATTGTTGTCTGGTTTCATTGTACATTCATTCCCACTCTACCTCCCTTTCCCTACACAGCACTGCCCTACATCTCCCCCTGCAGCCCTCCGAGGATGAGCATCATGTATTATCTCCCTGTCTCCAGCAGCAACAAGATATTAAGAGAATTATGCTTCAACCTCCAACAGCCACGGAGAAATGTCCAAGAGAGGGTGAGGGGTCCTTGATGGCATTAGGACCATATCCTGCATCTACTGACAGACTAGACAGCAAAACCACTTTTTCTGGGCTGGTCTTTTTAGGTGAAACCTACAGCATGAACTCACCACAAGGGAACACTGACCATCTTCTTTGCCTTTTCAGATCTTTGGCAAATATTAGTACTTCACTCTTCTACCGCTTTCCTAAGGAAACCATTCTGTGAGTCCACTTGCCTTTAGGTTAACCAGTTTATCCTCATATTCAGTCTAAAGTTAATTTCTCATCCCCTCATTCCATCCAATAATTCCTAGTTAAGCTCTTCTGGGCAAGCATAAATTCTCTTCTTCAGCCATGTTCCAGTCTTTATGGGATTCCTCAGACACTTAGACGAAACTCCCATGTTTTTGTAATTAGGTTAAATGTTTCCTTATAACGCAATCCTTCCAGCTCCATAATCACTCCAGTTGTCTCTCTCAGACCTTTCCTCCAACTGATCAATATCCAAACACCAGGATGCCCAGGACTGAAACTGCTATTGCCAAGTACAAGAGCCCAACAACCTACAGAATCAATTTCCACATTTCGACTTTTGGTTCTTTTCATATCCCTTTCTCAACCACTCTACCATCCTATTTTCTAATCTTGCACTTCAAACATCTTTCCTTTCCTGACCCTGATCATCATCAACTTGTTTTCCCTTAAAGTTTCTAGATCAATCTTTAAATTGCAATTGGAACCAAAAACCACGAGGTTCTGCAGCAATTAGGAAGAGACAGAAGTGAGCAGGAATCAGCCACCAGAAGTTGGTACAACAAGATGTTTTATTGAGGATGCGACCATCAGCCTCTAGATTCTCCAGCCAGTAGATCTAAGCCAGCCTGACGTGCTGCACTGATTTCTTCAACTGCTGATGCACAGGTCTGGCCTTCCCCTTCCCTGGATTCATACAGCTTCCACCACTTGTGTCCTACAGAAACGTGACTGCACCATCCAAGCTGCAGGGCTGACACCAGGGCCCCTCTGAGCCCTCAGGGTGCATTCAGCACCCTGGTCTGTAATGGCGTGACACAGAAGTGATAGCACTTCCCACCTCAACCCACCCACCACCAACACGGCACCGACAAAGCAACGGGGCAATCCGATGCAAAGGAGAAGACGTCATCCCAGCAGATGTAGGAAGAGAAGAAAAGGGAAATACACGACCCACAAGCGGAGTCTGGTGAGCACCGAGGGCTGCAGTGGATGCTGGTGACAAGGGCACTTGCTCCCTGCAGTGCTTGCAGGGCAGCAGCAATGCTGGCATGGGCTCTTTGAGACACTTCAGGCGCAGCAAGAGCCAGATTTTGAGAGGGACCTGCTGCCCAGTGCCTCACTTAAGCCCACTGGGGAGAAGGGTGCTCAACTCAGGGTTAAAAAAAATAAGCAAACACCAACAAGCAAACTCCTACTAGATGCGATGGAAACAGACACCTATTGGACCAACAAAAGCAAGAACCCAACACGAGTTAAACTTCCTTCAGGAAGGAAGAGGTGGCAAAGAGACTCTTCTCCAGCTTCCTCCCCACTTGGAGGACAAAAAACACCCCTCTCATCTGCGACCACAGCATCACCGCCTGCTTCCCTCCGCCAGAGAGCACTCCAGGACACAACATCTGCCTTAACCCCCCTGGGACCCCCAAAGGGCCAAACTTCTGCCTTTTGCTTTGCTCTCCAGACAGTGGGTATCAGGCTTCAGGGGCAGAAGGCCAGGAGGCGCGGGTGCCCCGGGCGCCCCAGCCCCTCGCCCTCCAAACCTTCCCTGCTCCGATTTCCGCAGCGCTGCCCTAATGAGGGTGCTGCTCAGGCAGCTCTTTAATGAGGAGCTAATCTGAACCACCTGTTGAGAAATCCCCCGCAGGATTAGGAGCCTACGGAGCAGTTATATCTCGGACCGAAGCGACATCCAGCTCACCGAGCTGGGAGGAAGGGGTCACCCCTGCACCGGGACTGAGGTTTTTCTCCCCCAGACTTGCCCGTTGTCCGCCCTTCACTTGGCAAACAAGCCATCAGACATGCTGGCACCTTCCTTGGCTTCTCCAGGGCAGGGATGACTGCTACGTCCTGCTGGGGAGCCAGCAGGAGCATCGCCACCCTTGCGCTGGGGCTGGCTCCCCATGCCTCAGCGCAGCGGGAGCTGAGAGGGCCCCCCGCTCGCTGGAAACGTTTCACTGGCCCACAGGCAGCAATTAACAGCCCTCTGCCGCCGCAGACCTGGAGCACCTGCGGTACTGATTAGCATCATTCAGGCTCCATGTGTTTCCCACTCCCCTCCTCCTCTGGGATTTCTGCTGCCTGTGAACAAACACGTGTCCCTGGCGCTTCCTGCATTGGTGGGCTTTGCAGAGAGCAATACTGGCCCCAAACTGACCATCACTGGGGTCTTATTTTCCTCTCGGCAGGCTTTTATCTGCAGCGTGATGAGAAGTTCTTCCTTCCTTTTATTTATCTATTGTAAGTAATTCTATTTATTGTGGAGAACTGTACTTTCTCCTTTGTTTTGCGGGAACCCCTGACCCTGGCTCACGCGGAATATTCCCTGCAGTTTAATTTCCCAGGGTTTGACAAAACACCAGGTAACTATGTTTTCGTTACATCTACAGCGAGAGATTATGCCACAGCCTGATAGAATCAAGCCAATTTTTTTTTCCTGCAAAGCTAATCCCGTGTTGCCTGACCGATTGCTTTAGGTAGCAGTTGCCAGTTCAAAGACCCCCCATCTCCACCCTACCATGACTGTTGGGGGCCGCATGGCGAACTGGATGGGAAAGCTGATCTACGTTAAAAATAACCCCGACCAAAGAAAAAGGTTATATTTAACTCCAGTCATTTTCCTGGGTCTGGTTCACTGCACAGACCCGCAAGCGGCAGTGCTGTTACACCGCCGGGGCGGAGAGGAGATGAGGGTGAAGAGGCACGGAAAGAGCCGTTTCAGCTGACAAGGCTGCAGTTTGATAAGCGTTTCTTTAAGCAGCCTAAATTGTGACTTCCATTTCCAGCTGACCCCCTCCTCGCTCAGCTCCGTACCGCATCAGTCATCCTCCTCTCCCTCCGCGCTATCGACACCCTCATGTGTTTGCAGCCTCACGTTTTCCCCTTGGCTGAATTTCTGTCATTTCCCTTTGTAAGCCGGTTCTTCTAGCTCTCTCATCCTTCTTCAACTTTTCTTTGAACTGCCTCGAATGTGCCAGCACTTTCATTGAAGTGGAATTCCCCAGACTGAGCGCAGATTTCCATATGCAGCTGCACCGGAGTCTGCGGCGAGGCCGGTTACCTCTGCGATCCAGAGGGCAGCACCTCCCTGCTCGCCATACAAACCCCGAATGTCAGCCTGCCTTTGACAGGCATTACCACCCATCTCTCTTTCAGCACAAGCACTTTCAAATGGCTCCTTCCCACTGAATAGCGATGCTGCGGTTTATTTTTTCCCCCAGGAGGCATCTGCTCTCGCCTCCCTCCGTCGTCCTCCCCCTCACACCACCCCCCCCTCACCTCCTGCTTGATTGGTTTGATGGGCTGATGGTCAGACATCCACCTGGGAGAAAACTCTGTCCGCTGTAGACGCTTCTCCTGAAACGGGGTTGAGAATTGAGGGAAGGAAAAAGAGAGTGGAGGAAATTAGGGCACATCGGTGATACTGGCAGGAGAAACTCTGGGGGCTAGAAGTGACCATGAAATCCCTATTAGCTTTACAAGGGTAGCAAACAAGCAAGCTGAACTCAATCCAAGAACATCAGGCTGAACGCAGAGCCCATTTTACAAAGCCATCTAGCCGAAGGATCTTGTTCCAAATCTGTCCCACCTGAAAACATTCAGTTGACAGACAATACCCTTCGGAGTTTCGGGGCTCTGACATACCAGCTCAAGAGGACTTAGGACAGCTAAAGCAGCCACTTCAGCAGAGCCAGCTGAGAAATGGCAGTAAAAGTGAAATCAGAGGCAGTTTGCATAGAAAAGCTAGGCTGTAAATCGCAGCAGTTCAAAAGCAGACAGAGATTCCCTGCTAGCAGAAAAGGGACACAGAAGGTGGCTGAAGACAGTAACCCCTTCAGCCATCCGACCTATGCTGCCGTGCAATCACGAACCAGATCCTTAATTATCGACTCTAGCCCTGCCACTCCATGGAGGAGAGTCTTTCTCCCCATACACAAGCTCAACGGCCCCCACATCAACAACACTTGCAGGCTGGAGTAGGGGGCAGCAGGACGGGGTGCCAGGCTGCTTGGATTTAACTCTCCTTCAATCAGCAAACGTCCATGCTCTTGGAAGCGGTCATGGAGAGGTAAACAGGATGTCATGTCTCCTCACCTTCTGTGCAATCATGTTGCAGATCTCCGGCAGGAAGTCTTCACTCAAGAGTTTGTAGAGCTGCCGCTCTCTAAGGGAAGTCCTCTCTCTGAAGCTCTCTGTGACCTGCCTCCACTCCTCTTCCGTCTGACACAGCAGCCACCATGTCCCACGGCCAGGCCCTTGGGACCCTTCAACAACATGAAAGGATGTTATCTCCACAGCAGATATGACTAACAACTTTTCTTTATCCCTTCTCCTCTCCTCAGGGCTCAGGAAGAGCAAAAGATACTGCCAATGGCCACTGTTATGAGAAACATGCTCTTTGCTATAGACCCACCAGAAGCACTGCTACCTCCCCTAGCAAGGCCCAAAGTGATGCCAAGACACAGAGGAAGCACACAGGTGAAGAAGTAATGGTAGCCCTTTGCAACACATGGGTAGCATGACATCCCTGTAAGTAAGCCTCCATTCCAGCTATGACAGAGCAGGGAAAAGGATTTAATTTGTTTCTTGTAATGGAAGCTCTCAGCCAGAGCAGGACATAGGGTAATGCAAATGTCTGCTTTAGTCTGGCAGCAGAATAAAAACATTGAAAATTAATGTTATTTGAAATAAGCCAATTTTTTTTTTTTTTTAGTACTGCAAACCTTTGCTGCAGTGAATAAAACCTCCCATTCTTCCCAGTCGAAACATTTTGTTTGCAGGCACTTGAAAGAACAGAAGAGGAAGTGAAGGATGGGCTTCATCGGGCTGCCAGATGAGGGGGAAGTTCCAAAAGTTCACATCCCATCCCTGCTCGATCCAGAGTGGGATCTGAAGCAGATCTCCCACTGCTCTGAAGCATGTCCCAACTACCAAGACACTCTGGGCTGTTCCGCCTTGTGTGAAACATTTGAATATTAATTGCAAAGGAAGGACTCTCTCTTGTGGTGGTTGGAACACCCACCTGGAGAAGGGGAATTGTGGTTCCTGCTCCACAAATGTTTACACAGAGCAGAGAAGCCTCATGGGTTGCAACTTGCATGCTTTTGCCCCGGGAAGCTCTCTAAGCAAAAAATGTTGTGGCCCGTTTTTGGGGAGGGGGAAGACATTGGTTGAAACCCCTTCAGGCTGAGGGGTTCTCAGCTGACTCCAGACTTTTCTAGAGCTAACCACCAGGCTACTGGAAAGAAAGCAAGGGTCACCACCCCCACTGGCAGATGTCATGCAGCTTCTCACCCCATTTTCAAACAAACTGACTATGAAAAATCTAAAGAAGTAAAAAACAGAGCCCTTTTCTTTCTAAACCTGACCTTGGGCCCTTTGTGGATTTGAGCTGCCGGTGGCTCCAGCACATGAGCTATCAGGTTGCTCCAGTAAGACCAGAGAGCTGCAGCCTCCCTCCAGCCACATGCCCTCTGTCGGAAACCTCCGTGCCGTGGTGGCCGCCCAGGGGGAGGTGTGTGGTGGCTCCAGGTCACGGGCCAGCATGTAGCTTAACCCGCTCTCGAGTTTAACGTGCTGGGGTTTAATGTAACTGAGGTGGTCAAGGCCCAACCACGTGCTGGTTTCTGCCACCCTGGCTGTGCAAAGCTGTCCCCTGCCCACCTGCAGTGAGGACCTTACCCCCTCATTTCTCCTTCCCTTGCCAGCTGCCTATGGACGACTCGTTTCAAAGGCAACCAGGACTAAGGCACTGCTCCGTGCCACCAGAAGGTTACTCCACAGCTGAAGTGACACAAGGTACTGAAGGACAATGATCTGATAAAACCCTCAGCACTTCTCTCCAGCTCTGGAGCAGCCACCAGGAAAGAAATCTGAAAAATCTGAAGACAAAGGGCGAAGGGAAGGAGGCACAGCAAAGATAAAGCCACCCTTGCCTTTTATTGTGGGGCAACACGCAGGCTGAGCGAGCCCCTGGGTTATGGGGAGGCCAATGGATCCACATGTATGACAAATGAGTCTCCAGCCCCCTCAGACTCAGTTTCACATTAAGTTGCCAACTTGTTTTTACTGCTTGCCTCGTTAACCCTTAGGTGGGTAACTCCAAGTCATCATTTACCGAGTTCAGCCACCCAACGGCCATCGGGAAACAGAGGCGAGGACAACCAAAATGGTTCTTCCTTCTCTATCTTGGCATCACTGACCCTATTCTCTTCCCAGTCTGAAAAAACCCACTAAAACAGGGCTCACCTCATCCCTGGAGGAGCAAGGGCCATTTGCAGCCCATTTTCATCAACTTCAGTGAGTAGGTGGGCCCCCAAGGCCTAGTGTAACCCAATACCTTAGGTTTCTTCATCCCAAACTAATCCAGGATAAGGCAGGAAGCCCGCAGGTGCCCAGGCTCCCAGCTGCAAGGCAGCCTGCAACTCCCAACGTCTCCTTCCAACCTCAGCCCCAATAACCGGCAGAAAGAGTCTCCCTTTCCTGAGAAAGGCATCTCTCCAGGCTTTGATAATTTAAGGGCTGTGTTAGCTGATCGTATCAACCCTGACCCCGCAAAATCTCTTTACCATTTCTTATCTGAGTCTCGCGGATTAGCAAGTTCTCTTCTGCCTTCTCCCTACCAAAAAAAAAAAAAAAGGGAAAGATACAATAAATACATTACTTCACATCATTGAAATGCAGCCACTTCAGAGAACTGAGGATGCAGCAATTATTTAATGCACAGTAAAACCATGAAAAAAAACAGAGTGTAGGACACACATTTGATATATATATTCACATATATATTTATCATAGCTTCGTACAATTTCAAGAAGTGAAGGGTGCAGGCTGGAGTTTAGCAAAGGACAGTCTTTCAATTCTTATGGGAAGCATCCCAAAATCTGTACTGTCTCAAGTGGCCAGGCTTTTGGCTTCAAGTGCTACGTAGTTGAAAGATTTCTTTATCAGGTGCATATCCCCTAGCACTGCACTGGGGAACTGCATCCGAAGAGAGGCGGTTGGAAGAGTGATACCCACTGTTTTGCCAAACTTGGCTTCCAGCTCAGTCAGAATTTTCCTTGGAGAGGGATCAAAGCACCCACCGTGCCTGAGCTTGCTTCACTTTTCAGATGTATTGAAATGATGGCTTCGTGGTATATACATACTTATTGGGGGAACCCCAGAAGTACATTATACTTACCTCTGGGAACATAGGCATTTTACATCAATTGCAGGAACAACCTTTCCATACCTCAGCAAATTTTCTTCCATTAGTTTTTTCCGCTTCGGGGGTCGCCCTCGTCTCTTGCCCGTTTTCCCAGGGACGTTTGGGGCGTTTGCCTGCCCCCCGCATCCCCTGCGAAACGGCGAAACCACCGTGAAATATCCGCCGAGCGAGGGAGGATGAGACAAGGGCAGGGAAATCGGAACAGCTGCTAGGAACCCAACCAAAGGAGGGATTAAATCAAGAGCAGCGGACGGGACAGGGGAAGGGAGGGGAGGAGAGGAGGGGTTCCCACTCACTGGGAGCCTGATGTGGGAGCCGCCGGCGCGGTGCGGGGCAGACGGGGAGGAATGCGGTGGGGCAGGCAGCATCGCTCCCACAGCAGGCTCTCCCGGTGCCACAAAGGCTGCAGGGCTGGCTTCCCACACAATGCACGGGGCAGCTCGCAGTCTGCTTGGCAACTCCAGTCTCGCCCCACACCTCCCCAGCTCTCTCCCAGGCTAACCCCCCCCCCCTTCCCGTTATCCCCCTCCCGACACAACAGCAGTCAAGCGGAGTCCCCTCCAGCCGGGCTGGCTGTGATGTCCCCCCCTCTCTTTACCCCCTGCACCCAGACACGGGGGGAACATGGTGGTGGTGGGTTGTTACCTGTCTGGAGCCAGTTCTCCGTTGGTTTTCCCCTGCACGGGGTCCTCCTTGTACATCCGTGTGCCGTAGAAGTACCAGTACAGGGCACCGCTGCTGTCCTCGCCCAGCGGCTCCACGCGGAGGCTGTCGGCGTCCAAGCCCTGTGTGACACCCCCCCCCAGGCCCCGCCAGACGGTGACAAGTTGAAAAGCGGCCACATTGTCACACAAAACATGATGACACCCCTCCGCAAACACCTCCCTCCCTCCCTCTCCTCCTCCTCCTCTCCCACCAACCCCACAGCAGCGGTACAGCTGCTCCTCCTGGCCGAGCTGGGAAAAAAAAATGTTACTCCAGGGGGAAGGTGACTGTTCGCTCTCTGTCCAGGGAGGGATTTAGATTGGCATCTCTAATTTGAATGGCCTCTCTCGTTTTAACATTTCATCTCTGGTGCTCCTGACAGGGAAGGTCTAATTAGTGCTGGCGACAGTCACGCACAGCCCTGAGAAGCTCCCTCCCCCCTCCCCGCCATCACCCTTCC